GAGATGCATTTAATGGTTCACACATTGTATATTGACTCATGATCACTGAAGTGGGAAATTTATAAGTTCCTTTAAATTATTGTGCAGAATAATTGTTCTTAGGGTTTTCTTTCTTTCTTTTTTTTTCTTTTCTTTATAGTCCCGAGTAATAAATGGACATATTTAGGGTTCCTAATACTGGTTTTAAGACTCCTGCATTTTTAGAGGCATAGGGAATTAGGTAAGAGCAAAGTTGTCAAAATTTGAGAATATATGCGATGCTTACGAAATTGCGTTCATTGAAATCATTGCTCCATTGGAGCCCATAGAACAGAACTGATGCACACTTCAAAATTAAGGAAATTGCAACTTGGTGTTGAGAAGTTGAGGATTTAGTATGTGATAACAATTTCCTCGGTTTAGATGAGTTCAAATCAACCAAGATGCTGAAGAATATATTAACCATTTCGAGAAGGTGTTGAAACAATAGTTATTCAAATTGTAATTGGATTATATCTTAATGTGTTGCTGGAGGGCATCACAGACACACACAGACACACACACAGACACACACACACACACAGAGTCTTCCCCAATGGAGTGAAACTGTGCTCACCAAGTATGCTTTGAATGGAAAAACGGTCCTTAACCAGCATATAATGAGTGACCTTGGTGGCCAAGAGCGCCTTATGCTGTGTATGTTCTCAGGCAAATCCTCCAATTGGCATAGACGGAAAAGTTCCACTGAGGGATGGAGTTTTCCATTGTGGGGGCAGCTCCAGATGCTGGATCCTTATCTATAATCTCAGGCATGTCCCTGGCAAGAATCCTTGGGACATCCTTCTTGCAGGGCTTTCATGAATAATCCAAACATTATACATTCTAAGATTCATGTGTCATGTTAGGGACAATATAGAGCACTTTGTCCTATTGTTTGACCCTTAAAAAGTTTGCATTTCATGGGTTGCTTCCAGGCTCTGCAGTTTTATGTGGGCGGAATTTAAGTAAACAAACACAGACTTTCTGAATGCTAGGACACTCAGTGGCTGGACAGAGCCCTGTCATCCTTGCTAGTTCCTAGAGCTGGCCAGAGTGCCTGGCGTACAAAAGGCACTTTATTAATCCTGACTGGATGGGTTAATGTTGGGGAGATGACTGTGACAAGCCACATGACTATCTTCTGGGTTTCGTCACTAAAGTTAATTTAAAAAAAAAGAACTACTCTCTTCTTGCTGTAGACATTTAAAAAGGAACCCTGGGCTTTGGTACGCACACATAGAGCTTGACAAGTGTAGGTATTGCGAGCTGCGTGTTATACAGATAGTTATAAAAACACAGCACATTACATGTTACTCCTAGAACTTTTACATTAAAATTCAATTTCTACTTACTGTAAATGTTTGGAAATCTCGATGAACCAAAGGAGGAGGAGGGAAAACAAACAAGAAAAGGAAGAGTCTCTACCATTAGTAACATAGTATATAGCCTCCTAGTGTTTCTGTCTTGCCTTTTTCCTTTTAGCAAACTGGGTCTGTGATATAATTCTCCTTTATCACCGGATTCTTAACTTACCAGGCTTAATATCATAACAATTTCCCGTATTATTGAGTATTGATCTACGTAATTTTCCTGCAATATTTTCAATGATGATGAGCATCCCAATGTCTGGATGTTTAATATAGGGATCAATCATTCATGAGCAAACCTTCTTTTGTGTCTCCAGTTAAAATTATGGTTCATTATGTCTTTGCTGTGCTCATATACCACTTTTAGAACGATACTGCCTTCATCTAAAGGGTCTCAACTCTTGACCTTCCTCTGTGTATCCCACCCAGAGAAGTTAGTAACAGAACAAGGATGGGAATTTGTGGACTCTTTAGAAAATGGGAAGACATGGTTTTAAGACCAAAAATGATAGTGCCCCTTTTATTGTGATAGTAAATGTATGGTTGATTTTACATTATATCTTTTTCTTTTTCATTTTCAAGATAGGAATAGGCTTATAAAGGGTTTTCGTAAAGTTGTGGGTAATGGGTCCATGATGGGTAAGTAAAAATAGAAATGCAGAACTTAGTCATGGGCTCTGATGTCCACAGACACGGGGAGGCCATACTAGTCCAGCGTGGTGTTTACTGTGTTCCGGGGAGGGTGGAGAAGGACCCGGTCTGTCCTGCAGGCTTATGACAGGATGGCCCCCAGGTGGTGCCTCTCTTCTGTATGGCCCCTGACATGAGTCTGTCTGGTTACCTGAAGGGTGTCTTCCCCCCAGGAGGAACGCTGAGCTTTGGTACGCACACATAGGAACCAGGAGATGAGGGTGAGGGAAGACCAGGCAGCACTTTCTCCCCAGGCTCATCCTGTTTCAGGCTGCTCTTTGGGGAAGCCACAGGAGCACGGCTCACTGGGGTACTGGGGTTAACATTTAAAGTCAGAAGATTGGTCAGAAGGTGCCCAATCCTTAGGCTGCTGAGTGATCTGGTGCTGAGGCCAGCTGGAGGTGTAGGCTTGGGGTAGGTGTGAAGGGAAGGATAAAGTGGTATCTTTATCTTTGGATGATTCCCCCAGGATAATGTTTAGGAAATGGTTGCTGTACTACTATATGCTCGTTAATAGATATGCCTTATACTGTCAATAGCCAATCAAAGTTAAAAAAATAACTTTGCATTAACTATTCAGAGACTACAAGGCTTGGATTCTATGATGCTATTCCAGAGATCAGGAATTATTGTCTTTGAAGATGCTAAGAATCAGTTGAACATCTTGTCATTAGAAAGGAGGAAGATTTGACTTTCTAAAAATTCGTGGCGGGAATTACAACTCATAAATGATCTAATAAAGATCACTTTCTATATTTGTGTGCATTTTCAAAATTCGACACGATGAAACATGGATAGAATCTTCAGGAAGTAGACCAAATAGTAGCATCTGGTTTTCTGTTCGTAAGTATCCAAGCAAAAAAACTAGTCTCTACTAAAACAATATTTTTATTAATTAAAGAATAAAGGATATATGTGAATATACACATATAGACATTATACATAAATATGAGAGAGAGAGAGAGAGAAAGCAAAGCAAATGATGTAAATTAGCAGCAGTTGGGGTAACTGGGTGAAGGCTATTTAGAGTCCTTTGTATTTTTTTGTTTCTGTTCGTTGGAAATTTATTTCTGCCTAAAGAGTTAAGAGGTTTCACTGTTTACAGAGCTGAATTAAGCAATTACCAAGGAATTAAAAGCAGACGCTCTGGGAAGAATGAGGTCTCTGGGGGAAGACAAGGGGCGAGGTGGGTTAGGAACCAGGAGATGAGGGTGAGGGAAGACCAGACAGCACTTTCTCCCCAGGCTCATCCTGTTTCAGGCTGCTCTTTGGGGAAGCCATAGGAGCACAGCTCACTGGGGTACTGGGGTTAACATTTAAAGTTGATGCTTCTCGGGAGGGCAGAACCGAGGAATCCCGGTGGAGCCGAGAGCGTTTTTCTCAGCGCTCCTGAATCCTTGTGGAAGCCGCCCAGATAAAACAACTCAGTGCTTTGAAATGTTCAGGGAAACAAGATTTTATAATCAGCCTGCCATCTTGTTCATTGTTCAGAGATGAAAAGAGGGGAAATCAACATCCCCTCCAAGTGTAGATGCTGAGAACTTGAAGGTTCTGATTTTGACCCAGAACAGGATTTCTTTTATTTTCTCTTTTCCCTTTGTTGTCGTCCGTTGTTTCTTGGTTTGTCTCTTTCTCCCCCCTCCTCGTCCTTCTATCCTAACACAAGGGGGTGAGTCAGGGGACAATGGGAGATATGGGAAGCCGGGCCAGTTTATAGAACTCGGACAGATGCCGGCCTGAAGTCTGAGTGAAATCCGTTCCCCGGCCCGTCCAACCCCTGGACCCGAGTGTTGCTGAATGACTCAGGCTTTGGTCTCTCCTGGTCTGCGGGGTCCCCTGTGGAGACCACACCTCTTCCCCAGTCGGTCCCACTTTCGTGTAGCGAGATTCAAAGCAAAACGTTGTTTCTTCCAGAGAACAAGTAATTTCCTGAAAATGAGCAATTAAAGGCCTGAAATCCTCTAAGGAATGTTCAGGCCTCCATTAGCTGTATTTCCTTTGAGGGGAAAGCAGACGTGGGGCCCTGAACTTGCAGCTGGGATTTTCAAACCCTTAACGAGGTCTTCACGTGGCATCCATGCAGGGCCAAGTGTTCTCTCAGGGTCTGTGGTCTGCAACGTTGACTTTTGTCCGAGCGGGATCGGCTTGCCCACCCTATAAACCGTTTGTAGCATGATTTTAGTTATTTGGGTTTTATTTATTTGTTTATCTATTTACTTATTTATTTTTAGTTCTTTGGATTTTAAATCAGTATTTAAACACGAGGATTTGACAGGGTTATTTCTGCCTTTATTTGCCTCGCTTACCTTATTGGTTCTCGAGTCTTGGTGTTTGCAGCTGGTTTCTTGTGGAACAAATAAAAATCACATGTATTTGGAAAGAGAAAATGAAACTCTTCTGGAAAACTCACATTTTAACTGCCGTTAAAAGTCCGCAAGCAAATGTATTATTATTCCATTAACGTGAAATAAGGTCTACCTGCAGAGTTTCCTTTCGGGAGAAAGGGACAGGGAGTGTGTGGGGAGGAGGCGCTCAAGTCCTGAGTCCCAGTCATGGGGCAGGTCCAGGGAGCCGGGGGGACCCCGAAGGCCCGACCCCCAGCTGTAGGGGATCCTCCGCGCCTCGTTCCGAGGTGCCTGTGGCCCGTGTGAAGCCATGCGGAGTCCCACCACATCTGCATCCTGCCCCGGGGCAGCGTGTCACACGGCGGCCCCACACCAAGTCACACCTGCTGTGGCAGTCCTTGTCCCAAGCAATTGATGCCTTTTTTTTTTTTTAATTAAAAAAAAAACCTCCTGGCTGCATATCATCAAGAAAAACAACATTGTTTTCAGGGTCCCTTATCTCTCCACTCCCAAATATCCTGTTTCTTCGGGCTGGGCCGCCAGGACCAATAGAAACCTCTTCCTGCCATTGGCTGACTTCATTTCCCAGACTTAGCACAATCTCATCCGCTCTAAACAACCTCATCAAAACTACTTTCTGGTCAGAGAGAAGCAATAATTATTATTAACATTTATTAACGATCAATAAACTTGATTGCATTATGGCCAGCACTATTAAGGTAAGGAAAGGGTTCCTTTTTGCTTGACAAAATCTTGTGCTTGTTACTCTTTTCTTTGGTCTCCTTTATCAAGGCAGATAAGTCAGGATTGGGCAACACCCCCACGGCCACAATAGAGGACAACAAGATTTCCTCTGCACTGCCTAGTAAATTTCCTTTTTCCTACTCCAACCATCCGCAAGGCTTAAAAACTTCAAACTCAGAAAAAAATTGGGGTTTCTAAATTCACTGTTGAGTGCTGTGGATGACTTTTGCAAAGGCTTTTTGGAGCTCGTCTGAATTTTCGTATTCTTTAACTATCCCTAGCGGTGCGTGGATGTGTGATCTGCTGGAAGGCAATGGACTCGGAGAGGTTGGAGGGCAGGGTCGGAGAAAAAGATGGGCTGGTAAATGTTGATCTTCTGGATGCTCTTGAATGACTCCTTAGCCTCAGGGGTGCCAGCCAGCCCCAGTGGAAACGAAGAGATACCTGGCGAGTGGCGGCTGGTCATGGGACACGAAAATGTTGACTTGGTTTTTGGATCCTTCATGCTGACAGTGGAGTGGTCTCATAACTCAAATGGTGGTAATTCGGTTTATTGGGTGACATAGTTATCTTTAATAAAATACTACTCCTCTGGGCGCTGTGAGTATACGTTCTTGCTCGTCATTGTTGGTTTGTGGGACTAGAAGAGCGGTGGCCGACCACTGCTCTGGGCTCTGGGGTATGTGGTCTGATGTGTTTTTCTTGCAAATGTCGCTAGTAGATAGCATAGAGAAATTAATGGGGAGGTGAATCCATGTGCCTGGGAACCTAAACCTGGCCTAATTCCTGGAAGCGAAGCCAGTCAGATGGTTAGTGCAAGACCGTGGCATGGAGTCTGTGAAGTGTGGGCTGCTGAAATATTTTCAAGGCCTCCCTGCCTTGGTGACATTTGTAGAAATGAGAAAAATCAGCAGCGAATGCATAACTGAAAGGAAGAGAAAGAAAGCTCTAGTAGTTGCGTGTCTTTCGTTTTGTTGCATATAGGCGGGAGGCATTTGGTTGTATTTTCATCCAGGGTCTTGGTTAATTTGAAAGCTCATGAATATGGAAGTTTGCCCAGAATTGGGCCAAAGCATTTTCAAAGACCCTCCTTGGTTTGGCATCTGAAATGTCTGTATTAGAGGGTACCATATGAACTGTGTCTTAAAAGCTTTGTTCAGTTTTTACTTCTCAAGGTGTGTTTTATTTTTCATGGAATGTTCAGTAATATATATGAAAAAATCATGTATCAAAGACTAACCTTATAGAGGTTTTTCTTTCTTTGGCTTCAAGGATTGGAATCTCCTGAAATGTAACTATCATGGGAAAGAATTTTAAAATTGGGGGTTTGATGTGCCCCTCTTTCAACTAGATGAGCAGAAATTATTTGATTTTATAATGCAAAATGCTACCCTTTTTATTCCTATTTTCACTCCTAATTGCGTCCATGTTTCATAACAATTAAATCAAATATTCTTTGTGAATTTTGAATAGCTTGAGTGTAATTGTGTGTTTCCAAAAAAAAAAAAAGTATATTGAAGGACACTGAAATAACAGCCTGTCCTTTAGAATGTGGGGTATGTTTTGTGAAACATACAAAATGCGTTATACTGTTTAATTCGAAGCATACATTTCTGGAGATATGAAGGTATTTTGAAGCTTGAATGTTTTGTGATTCCAGAATAAATTTTGGGTCATAGTTAACACTTGTCCAGGATACTATGCTTGCTTTAACATTTGATGGCACTGGTTATATGTATATTGTATATATCTCAGGTGAACTTTAAAATGACTTTAAGTAGATTCTTTTTAATCCTCTGTTCAAATAAAATAGCCCCTCTTTATAGGTAACTTCCTTTAAAACGTGTTCTCTTGGGCTTCCTGGGTAAGGTAATGAGATGATTTTACAGACTTGTTTACAGAGTAGAAAAAGGCGGCCTGAGTCTGTTGACAGTAGTTTTAATTATGTGAGTGCAAAGCTCATATTAGCATAAGGAAAATTAAGGCTGTCTGTTGGAATTAGGAAACAGTCTGTCATACAGGCAATTTCTAGTCTCAAACACACTCTGTTCTTTTTTTGTTGTTGTTGTTGTTTCAGTAAATAAATCAATTAGTCAATTAAGCATTAGATACACTTAATTTGGTACTCCCCATTGGAGTGGTCTTTTTTTATTTTTGCATTAATATTTATAAGACCTTGTGAGGCACTATGAAAAGTTAGATGTTTTTATCCCATCTTTGTGACTCTCGTCATCATTTTCTCTTGGTGTTTGGAACTGGGAATAGAAAGTTTCCATTGGAAGAAGTAAAGGAATTTTGGGGGCTTATCTGAGAGTGCCCATTTATCTCTAAGTGTCCATGGATTTTAGGATCAGATTATGAGTTCTCATAAAAACATGTAAGCATCAAGGGTGATGTCCCCATAGGTAATTCATGGATCAGTTTTGGTATTTCCATCTGCTTTTTGCCATTTCCACCATCTGACAAAACTGAAGGGTGCTTAATACCCCATTTCCTTCCTTCTGCACGGGAACAGCATGGTGTTGCTTCCAGACTCCAAGGAGCCGGTTGTTAGCCTTGGAACTTCGGTTGTGCTTCGGTTAGGACTTTTAATCCAATCTCCCAGAAACTTCCCTGGCCCTTTCATTACGCCCTGGGTCACTTGGCAAGTCTAATGAAGTCTATGATCCCGTCTCAGGATAAATGCTTTTAAATGCATATAATGTGATACTTAGAATGATAAAGCAAGCAAATTCTGCCCAAGTACAGTTCAACTCTTGGACTCCTCTGATGGCCCATGAACCCCACGTTACAATCCCTGATCCTAGGGTTTCAAGATCCTTAGTCTTTGGAATGGGAATGTGGGGATTTTCCGATATCACGGAGATCTGACATTGAAGGACAAGGAGAGGGCAGTGCCAGTGAAAGCATCTTAGGAAACAGACAGGATATGGAAAGTTACAAGGCTCCATGAGGGAGCACACTATTACTGTTTCATTTAGTTGTTTAAAGAAGTTACTTTGATTTAACAGACTGGAGGGTTTGATGATGATTGAAACATGGTGTTAATTTAAAAACATATTGCTTATTTTATATGTTTCATGCTTTGCACATAGCAGGCACTCTGAATATTTGCCATCATGCATGAAGGGAAAGTTAGCAAAAAGCTCAGGTTTATATGAAGAAAGTTCATCTCCCAGGGGTTTGGTGGATATGGTTAATGAGTTGAATGGCTCTAGGCATGAGATTTTTCATCAGCCCATTGGCTTATGTGGAATGAGAATTGTTTCAACCCTCCTTACTTTGGGGGGGAGCTCAGTGACAGTGGAAGGAATGTCAAATATAAATGTCATGTGCTCAGAGCAGGCCCTGATCTTCTGTCCTTGCCTGAAAGTGGAAGTCCAGGCCATTACCTTAAAGTGCTTGCCGCTTGCATTCGTGGGCAGTTCCCCGATACAATTTGGCCCCCCCGGATGCAGCACATGTCTCCCCAGCTCCCTGAGTGTGTGTGCACCTGTCCACTTGGGGCACTGACTCAGTGACCGTGGAAAGGAGAACAGGGAACAGTGAAATTTTTGGATTCTTTGCCATTAAACACTCTGACGTAGGATTGTTCTGCACTCAGAGAATGTTCTGAAAGCCTGAATCATTTCTGAATTATCTACATTTTCTTTGAAGTGATTATCTCATTATTATCGTTATTTAGCAAAATAGACCTTTATTAAAAAAATCTCTACACACACATACTTATACTTATTTAGGTTTCTTGAAAAAGCATACCTAAAAATAAAATAAATAAAACAGCCATTGCCAATATGCCTTCAGGAAAATATTACTTCTGTGTTTAGAAGTTCGGAGTAAGGTTCCCTGTGTAGAAGTGTTGACCCACAGCAGAAAACTCCACTGTGGCATCCCAGTAATTTGGCAGATCTACTGATTTAATGGCTGATGCAGAAGAGACTCGCCATGCAGGAGGCCGTGGGAAAGCCAGGACTATGAGTTTCTCTGAAGTCTAAGATCTTCCGAGAAGAGTGACAGAGACAGTGTCCAGGCCCTTCTAGTGTTTGGTGGAACACTGTGCTCTGGCAGGATCTTCGGGGCTAGGAAACACCTCAGATGGCACAGGACCCACCTCCTCCTTTTGTTCCAACGGGATGGAGGATAGCTGTTTTCTGCCCTGGGGATTCTGTCGCACGGCCCCTGAGACTTAATTTCTTACATCAGGTTGGCCGCTACAGACACACCTGCATTTGGATCCCGGCTAGTCAGGTGACCCTGTGTGACTTCACCTGACCTCAGTTTCCTTACCTGTAAAATGGGATTCAAATGGCTATCCTGTTCTGTGTTGGTATGAGCTGAAGTCTATGGAGCCTCCGTCCCATATGTGCTCCATACACGGCAGATACCATTGGACCATCCCAGTTGATTGAGCCTTTCCTTATCCTGCTTCGGTTTTGAAGCCCAGAGCCACACAGAACTCTGTTCCAGTGCTTTCAAAAAGAACAGGGTCACTTCTACGTGTCAGTACCGTGGTCTCCCACCGAGGGCAGGCCACACCTGGGTCTGGGAGGCACCAAGCTAGGAGAAGTCAGGAGGAGGAGGAGCTTATGGGGGTCCTTGGGTTAGTGTGCAGCAGGGCAGGTACCAAACACACAGGCAGGTAGAGCATGCAGGGGGTCACTGAAGGTGTGGCCGGTCAGAGGGTTGGCTTAGCTCTGCTCTGAGGGCAGAGGCTCTTTGCTGTTTTGCTGAAGGAGGGCAGAGGTCTGCAGGGCATCTTGCTCCTGATTTAGGGCACAAATAGGAATATTGGAATATCTCCACTGTTCTGTTTTCTCATTAATTTTGAAAAATACATCTTGCTGTTTTGCACAAACTATAGTAATAAAACATTCTCACTGTAGAGAAAACGAAAAAAAAAAATCATTACAAAGTCAATATAAATTGCTCCTGATCCCAACCAGCCAGAGAAAATTACTAACATTTGGTGTGTGTT